GTGTAGTTGTTGCCGTACCAGTGAGTGAGATTGGCAAGGCCAACCTGCTGCTGTTGAACGACGATGCCAGCGACCTCGATATCGCTGTATCCCATGGGGCCCGATGCCTTCTCGCCAGAGCCGTAGCTGAGGGCGAAATGGATATCCTCGACAGGACCATACTTGAATCCGTCAATGAGGTCAGGACCAAAGGCGCATGCCTCCTGAGGGTAGGCGACGGTACCCGTCATGCTGACGCAGGAGAGATTGGTGCTGGCAGCCCAGGTGTCGCTGCTGCCGGTGTCGAACAGCATGTTGAGGGGCTTTCCATCCCAGATGACCTCGATGGAGTATTGAGTGCCGTAGGGAGTCAGGGCAGTGATGTTCTGGTAGGCATTGGAGAGGTCCTTGGGCTGAGCAGCTTGCAGGGCCGTGGCGGCATTGTGGCCAGCGATCTTGCCGCGGAAGGCCTTGAGGGGCTGGGTTCGGCCGACGACATCCTCAGCAATAGGCTCGCGGTGAGCCTTGAGACGCTGGAAGCTGATGCCCTTGAGGGGGCTGATGATTTCGATGCTGTTGGTCTTGTGCTTGTGGATGACAGCAGCGTTGGTGGTGAGTACACCAACTCCCACTAGGGAGGAGAGGACATGGGCGACCCTCATGGCGATGAAGGGCAGAGAGAGTTGGAAGGAATGTACAAGAAATGAGTGTCTGGTGCAACGAGAGAATGAACAAGAGAGTGAACGAAGGAGTGGCTCAACAGCTGGAGTCTCTGGATGAGGCAGCTGGAGAGAGGGTAGTGATGAGTTGCGAAAGGGGAGATTCGGAATCTTGGAACGAAGGAGGGAGGTAATAAGGAGGGGTCGAGGGAAGAGAGAGATGGAAGGTACGGCGTCTGCCTAGTCAGCTCTCGGGCAGTCGCTTCCTCCTTCTGAAGTATTTGTGACGCCGGGAAGGCGTGGCTTGCGAAAGGGGAAGGGGCCGAGAGGGTGATTGCCGTCGCGGAAGTCACGATAGGGGCGACCCTGCGCCTGTCTCGTTTGGTGACGTCGTCACATCCGGGAGGATCTCATGGACACGGCAACTGCTTCCCTGTTTGGCGTGATACATATCCTTGCTACCTCAGGCAGACCCAGACGTCTCCCTTTTCCGGTTCATCTTCATATGATATGACGGAGCTGACCCGTGCCCATTCTTCCTCCATCAGACGCATCACGACATAGAAGGCAATCAATCACTACCGAATATCCGTTTGTTTGTCATTCGACTCTTTTCCGTCGCCGCACTCGTCCCGACCTCGCGGTCCAAACTCGTCCAAGTCAATCGGGCCTTTGGACTTGGAACTATTCAAGTACTCTCATCCGTTCAACGGGATCACGGAACGAACGGGGGTGGCCGTGAATATGTACCCGACTTTGAAGTTGTACATGTCCACAACACGAGATGCGATAGCACTCGACATCCAGACTGTTCAATGATCACCGCTGAAACGGCTAGCCGGCCGAGAACGTCAACTTCACTTCATGGCATCTATGCTAATTGCCGGCCTGAAGCATTCGCGAAGTTGATTGATGATTAGGCAGAAGCCAGACTAGTGTACCGATTTCCAAAGACCCTGGATTCAATCCAAAACGGCATACGCAGTTCTCAATCTCGGTTCAATGTCTACATCCGACGTCCCGCTGTGGTGTCAAACGCTCAACGGGAACTTGCAGCTGCCGTCCGAGGTGCCATCCAGGGGCGAGTTGCACGGGACACAGCTTCCAGGATATGGGCAATCAAAATTTGGGAATAACGAATACTTCCAAAGGCGAGGCGTCTGGAGTGTCTGACTCTTCTAAGGGTCTTCTGGCACATTGGCACCTGCAGCCAAGGCGGTCGTGGTGCAGACTCATGACGAAGCAAATATTCCTTACCACCTCTGAGTAAGGTAGAAGAAGCCTGCCAGACGCCGCGAGGTGTACTTACACATCCGACGGCTGCGTCCTGCACGATTTGTTTGTCATTCATGCGGTATGCAAGATGGTGCATCGTCCGCACCCCTGTTGCCCTCGAAGACACGATGTTCTTCCCGGCCTGTCACGACTACTCCATGTCACCTATGGAACTTCATCTGAACTGAACTGACTAGTACAGGAAACGAGGCTGACTGATGATTCAAGACTTTGTTAGCTGGGATACCGTTGGTAACTTCGGGTGAAACAATCTGTCCTTCACATGGTTTGAACTGGGCAGCACGACTCCGGGTAGAATTGATGCTCTTCGTACGAACAGTTGCCATGGAACGACTTGTTATGAGCTGCCACCCTGTACTCAAATTTTGACATTAATTAAACGTCAAATTGTAGACTGGTTCAAGCCTGAACACCGCTCAATCGCCAACTTCATGGTCCTGCAATGACTAGTGGTCGGAGCGTTTACCCCAACTCGCCGAGACGGCCGTTGCTGTCTTGCCGCCGGCCCGTTGGGTTCAAATTTCCATATCAATCCGAGCCATTCCCCTGCTACGAATTGCGATCAGTGGATGCCTAGAATCGTAGACCCATTCTCAACAGCGATCCTTCAGAGAATCCTCTAGATTACCGTTGAGGATGGATTCGCAACCCCGCCGACCAGGGGTTTCAAGCCGAGGCAGTTGCCGGAAGGGGTAACCTTGCCAACCTTAACAACCTTGCCATGACTACACGTCCCAAGAAGACACAACTTAAGGCTGAACTTGCAGCGTCTAAATGCAACTAGTGTCTCGTCCATGACCTCAGGTCCACTACTTTATATCCGACCTCACACCCTCCACATTCCAACTCATCATCATCTCCCATCTCACTCCAGCACATCCGCGGACCCCGTTCGAGCGCCAAAACATCATCCATCATGGCCTCAAACCAACTAAGCACCCAAGGGGCTCTCCCACAGATGAGGGCCCTCTCCCCAAACACATTCCTCTACGAGCCGCCATCGGCAGCCCCGGACCCGGGCTCCCCGCAGCTCATCGCCATCTTCGCCTGGATGTCCGCCCAAGACGTGCACATCGCAAAGTACACCTCGCGCTACATGGCCCTCTACCCGACGGCGCGCATCCTGCTGGTCAAGTGCCCCTTCATCCACACGCTCTCGGTGCGCATCGCCAAGCGCGAGATCAAGCCCGCCGTCTCCGTCGTGCGGGCCCTCGCGGACGCCACCCCGCCTGGCGAGGCGAAGCGGCCCCAGCTGCTGCTGCACGTCTTCTCCAACGGCGGCGCGTCGAACCTGTCCAAGTTCTTCGAGCTCTACGCCGCCGCCGACCGCGCGGGCCGGGGGCTCGACAGCCTGCCGCCGCACGTGAGCGTGTACGACTCGTGCCCGGGCGGGTTCCACTGGATGCGCAGCTACCGCGCGCTATCGGCGGTGTTCCCGCGGTTCCTGGCGCCGCTGGTGCACGTCTTCATCGGCTGGTTCTGGATCTTCCAGGTGCCGTTCGGCGGGCGGCACGGGTTTCTCGGCAGGATGTGGGCGGCGCTGAAGCAGAAGGCGCTGCTGCAGAGCGAGCAGCGGCGGGTGTATCTGTACAGCCGCGAGGACGAGATGATCTACTGGGGGGACGTCGAGAAGCACGCCAACGAGGCGCGGGAGGTCGGGTTCAGGGTGGGCAGGGAGAGGTTCGAGGGCAGCCAGCATGTGGCGCACGCGAGGACGGACGGAGAGAGGTACTGGGGCGCTGTGAGGGAGTTGTGGGATGGACGGCGGGATAGCGGGGTTGTGATGGAGCGGGAGGTGAAGACGGAGGCGCCGAAGGCGGAGGAGACCAAGGCCAAGGTTGTTGAGCCTGATTTTGAGGTCGTTGAGAAGGAGGCTGTGAAGGAGCCGGTGAAGCCTGAGGTCGAGGTCAAGCCTGATGTTGTGAAGGCGCCGGAGGCGGCAAAGATTGAAGTGTTTCAGCCCACGCCTGTCAAACCGGAGGTCAACCAGAACGAGACCGTGAGGAAGATTGAGTTGGCGGAGGAGTCTGACCTTCTCAAGCAGCCCGAGGTTGTCACGGAGGCCGAGATTAAAGAGGCGGAGGTCGCGAAGATGCCGGAGCCGGTCAAGGTGGAGCCGCCGAGACGGAAGAAGCAACCGACGCCGCCTCCGACGATTCAGTGAACCACGCAACTTGAGTTTGTTTATTGGGAATGATGCATAGAACTACATACTTTCGTTTATACATAATTTAGATTGATACAGCTGTCTACCCGAAGCAGTGTTCGTTGTGCTTTCACTCAAGTCACCAGTAACTGCGGCTTGCTTGAACGTCCTACCAGACGGCTCGTAATGCGCTCAACCCTTGTCTTCAGGGGATGGGTATGGATCGGCCCAATGATTACCAACAGAATTACTTACCCGTATATGACCGCCTCAAGGCATGTGGACAGGAATTCGTCTGAGTTTCTTTTGTAGATTCCCGAAAGGTGAAAGCTCACTACGATGCCAAGAGTTCCTCTTTGTCCATTGTTTCTCACGATTCAGCCAAATGCTTTGCTACCGGCGCGAATAATAAATGACCGATATGTCGTATTGATAGCTAGCCCGGATCCTGAATGCCCAGTGACGAATTCAATCGCTTGACAAGGTGTACAGACCTCCCCTGTTGGTCCCGCCAGCCGCCATCGAATCACACGCCATAGATGCAGTGGCATCATGCATGAATCTGCAACACGAATGCTGTTGGTTCTTAGATGCTACAGCTCAGCAGACAGGCTTCCTCAGCGCGACCTTACCGTGGGTCTTATTACGAACGTAACCCCGCCTCCAGCCCTGATGGACTGGTTTTCCCCCAAATCACTCGTTGTTCGACTTCAGCCATCTTCAAAAAAATCACGTCGTTGGGGCAGCATTCCTGGAGGCGCGTCGGAGGTTTCCAAGTCTCGAGAGACATCCCAAAGGTACCGTCTTCATGACTGCGCAAATCAAATAACGGCCATGGCAGAAGTGCTTGGTGTTGTCAGCAGCGCGATTGCAGTCGCCGAGCTGGCGGGAAGCTGGCGGGAAAATTCGGCCTCAGCGTCATGAAGCTGAAGCAGTTGTGGCACGAGATCCAGGACATCCCCGAAGAGATGAATCGCATCATGAGACAGCTTGAGATACTGAAGCCCGTCCTGGCGGGGATGGAGGCCGATTTCGTGCAACAGCAGCGACACAAGGTCTACTCCAACAGTGCCACCAATCTGCATGCGAGCATCGAGTACTGTCGAGACGCTGTCAATGATCTGGAGAGCTTGGCGGAGGACCTGCAGACCAGGATCAGCACTGCGAAGCGATCGAGAAGGAACATCACGAAGCTCAAGGTCTCGTTCAAGAAGGAGGATATCCGGAAGTACCAGGAACGGATCGGTTGGGCGTTGCACCTGATCTCGCTTTCGCAGCAAAGCTATATGATGTGGGTGCCGTCAATCCTCGCTCAAAGTGCGAACAGCAACTGACTCTTGTAGGGCTTTCATGAAGTCTCAGCCTGTAGTAGAACTGGTTCAAGATCCTGAGCCAAGTTTATTGGACACTGTTGTGGATGACTCGCGAGAGGTGCAGACCGGCACGAGCAATTTTGACGCAAGCAATTCCGATCGGTTGGAAACGATTCGCCCAATCGGATATGAGGTTGGCCCGAAGCCTCTTCCATGGCAAAAACCGTCTTTCTTTGGAGGTTTTACCTACAAGCAGTCTCAGAATTCCTTCTACGCAAATAGCGCCGGTAAGCTCACAGAGGCACAAGTTCGAATGCTTGCTCTAACATATTGGTAGTGCACCAAATCCGTCAACAACTCCCAAGGTGGATGTCCCAAAGGGTCTTTGACCTGCAGACGTACCGCGCCCCAGTCGGTTGGCAAATCTGTCTCAAGCCATGGATTAAGCGACATAGCTATGGCAAAACATTCAACGATGTCAGATATGGCAAGCTCGCGGATGTTGAGAAGGCCCTAGCCGTGGGAGACGCCTCCCTGTTCGATCGTGATGAGGAGGGAGGAACACTGCTTCATGTAAGGCAACCACGATTCACTAGACGTGAAGTGAAAAAAAGCTGACTGGTATGTTCAGATTGCAGCTTACGGCGGGAAGCTAGACACGTTCAAAACATTACTAAGCTGGGGGGTGAGCCCTGAAGAAACCGACGATGATGGCGGATCAGCTGCTCAGCGTATTTACAAAATGCACCATTCTGACACGGCGCTCATCGGAATTGTTAAAATAATGATGGATTTGGGAGCTCTTGAGGAAGAGATTGACACAATGTTCTCTGGCGCTCGGAGTTCCAAGAGATACGCTTTTCCTCACTACATTTGGAGGGTTCCTGGCGTTATACAAATAATGGCCGGGAATCGATACCAAGAGTACATGCAGTTGCCTGCTCAATCTCGGTTTGCATATCTTTCGTGGTCCAGAGTTTGTCCGAAAGTGTTACTGGAGCAACTCAGCTTGAGCGCTAGTATAACTCCAGCTGCTTTGAGGGCAGTTGAAGGACATAATGACAAATCCAACTTGAATCTAGGTACAGGGCTAAGTCTGCAAGCCCTTGCGGAGACGTATTTCAGAGAGACGCCTATTGGTCTCTGGGACAGTCCGTGGGTTCGTAGAGATGAAACTATGGGGAAGATCAACCTCGGGCGCTTTCACAAGTTTTATTTCTGGCGGAAACTTGTACGATGGTATCTTGCTGGAATCTCTCTCTCAAAGCTCACTGAGTTGAAAAGATTTTTTCGAGACGATGTGACGCCATTCCTCTGCGGCTTGTCCAATCAATCTCTTCAGGGCGGATATATGAGCGCACGTCGCGAAACACGTTGGATGATGCAAGGGCAGTCTCGAGCCATGAGATTCTGGTTGGAGGACTTGCAGTCTGTGGGCATAGATCTGGCAGAGTACGGTAAGCGGGAACTCGCCATATATCTTCATTCGAGCTGTCCTCTTCGACACCGGCGAGGCTCAGAGTTGCTGCGCGGGAGCTACAGGGATAGGGCTTTCAACATGCGGCTTGTCTCATTTGAGTACGGCCCTCGGCCCGAAGACTGGTACCTTGTCTGGGATACTGACGCGTATGAGTTCGCTGGGGAATTCTGGGATCTTCTTGAGAATCCGCCACTCCGCATTCCAGGCGGATGGGTGGATGATTTCTAGACAGGGGAAGTAGTTGAGGAAGACTGTGAACAATTCTTGTTTCTGTACTTTTAGAGAAGTGGCTGAGTGACATCCCTGCTCTCGTTTCTCGCCTCTACAACGTATGAAGGGATTACAATAGACAAAATGGGTTTTATTGTCTCTTCTGAATTGATGTAACCAAATTGTGCAATTGTCGTAATCCCAAACACAGCGAAAAAGTACCAATGTGACATGACTGTACTTAAATGGAGATTTTTGAATTTTATTCGCGTGATGCTGTTGGTCCTGCGACTTTCTAGAGCTTTTGATGCAGCCAACTGTCTGCCGGTTGAGCTTTTGGGCCGGCTCTAGGCATCGCTGTCACGCTGACGAGCTCTTTGCATCCAAAAGCCGCCTCAGTTTTGAACGAACAAAGAGCTGATAGCCGCGAGACAACAGTTAAATTGTGAGAGCGCCTGCGTCAATGTCAACCTCGAGCCAAGATGAACGTCAATAAGACCAAAACTGTTTTCAAAAGAGTTGATTCGAGGCAGGAATGAAGGCCATTGTTTCTTATCGACAAACGTTCCAGCAACCTTCTGCAAACATCCTATGCCGGCATCAAACACTTTGGGGATGCCGGAGAATATTGCTGTAACTACCTACTGAGAGACCGTGTGATCGAATAAGTTCTGTACCGATCTAGCGGTAAAGGGTTGCCTTCTTTGATAGCTATCCATATCCAACGTGTCTCAGTGCGGAGCTGAATCCAGGGCCACGTCCTCTGCATGAAGATTGCGAAATATTACATGACGAGCGTTCCCTCCGGTACTAATCTCGCACGGCAGTTCCCACCTTCTACACCTGGCCTACTGCTATATTCTAAGTGCAGTCTCTTCTGAATACTCCCATTAGCTTTACCAACATCCACCACATTGCCAAGGTAAGCATCGTCCTCTTCAACAACTCGAAAGCTGTCCAACATGATCGCTTCAATCACTGGTTCGGTCACTGTCTTTCCTGCCGACTTGCTATCAAGAACCAGCACCAGGAAACCAGACAAGACGAGCAACATACTGATAGCCAACCACGAAAGAATCCTCACAGGCGAAACCTCCGCCCGAAGAGCCTGCACTGGCTCCCAACCTCTTGTTTCGAGTCTCCCGATTCCGTTCGGGAAGGCGCCAAGTGAGAAGGACTCTGTTAATGCACTCCATGTTCCCTGGTAGGTCCGAACGAGCGAGTCGCGCAGGGCCTGCTCGAATTGGCCCATACAGGTTTCTGGGTCACTCATCCGCAGGGATGCCACAATTGTGTGAACCTCTTGCATCATAGCAAATACCTCTCTGGTGAGGTTATCCGGCAATACCTCGTCGCTTGTGGAAATCATGATATTCGAGGCAATGAAGCATGAGGAACTGTTGGATGCCGGGCCTCCTTGGCTACAGTTTGTTACTCCTGCGCTGATCCGGAGCTTAGCAACGGCCATGCAATCGGACTGGTCCCGGCGACGGCTTTTAACGAGGTGTATCTCAGGCGGAAAAGGACCGAATTCGGTATTATTGGTGTAGTCGATGCTCTTATGGCAGCCATATTCCTCCTGATTGCCCCCGGAAAACACATAGATGGCGGCATATTGGACTTCATGTAAAACCTCGATTGCCTCGGGCAATGCGTCTGCGGATGGCGCTTTCCAGGGCTGATCTTTCAGAAGAGATGTTGCCCCTATGGCGACTGTCATCTGCGTCTCTTCCTCAGTGAAGTTGAGATATCCGCTTTTAGGATCCTGCAGGGCTTCGAGAATCTTCGGGGGTATCTGCGATTCGTCGCTGATCCATTCAAATGACTCGATCTTGAAGATGGGCACCGTGGCGTTCTGAACAACTGTACCGTTGGTATAAGAGCCGAGGAATGTTGCCATACGACGCGCTTGGGTGACGTTCAAAGACCCGATGTTGTTTTCGAAGGGTGTCGTTGCCTTCAAGCTTGCCAATTCAGCAGACGCTTTCACTAGGCCCTGACGGATGTTTCGGCCACCTTTGTACATGTTCCATCCTTTATTAGGCGACGCCAAGCCCAGAGAAACGTCTCGTTCCACATTTACATCGTGCGATAGTATAGGCACCCACGAAACAGAGCCGGTTACCAGTGGGTTGGCGAGCTGTGGTGGCCAAGCAAGGAGGGATGGTATCGCAAGAAGTTTTGTGGCTTCTCCACCCGGCCGGTATGATAACCTTTGCCGTAGGATCGACCAAGATGGTAGCTTCTTGGAGCCCACTAGATTGGCGTCTTGGAGAGAGAGTCCAGTCTTTTCAAATAAAAAGAAGACACATCGCCAGGCGGCGAGGGCTTGCCACCAAGAGCCTATACTTTTTACAGTGACAAGGCAGACCGAGATAACCGTGGAAACGTCGGTTTGGGTGAGTCTGAACGAGCTGCCGGGGCGTAGTGAGAGCCCGGAAACGGCGAAAGACTTGCCATGAAGTCCTTTCAACATGCTGAACGCGAAGACGACACGAACAAATGCATACAAGAAGAGCAGATACCACTCAGAAACCAGACGCAGCCAACGTCGCCATCCGACTACCCGGTAAGGTATGTGAGGTGGTCTGACTTGAGTTTGCGTAGACGTCGCAGGAAGCTTTTGGTAGGAAAGGCTTCTCATTTCCATGGTGATGTATCTGCAAAGCGCTTTGTTTAAGCAACTATTCACTTTGTATTCATGCGGTTTATCATAAAAAGTAGTGACTGATGTTGCTTGGAGATAAATAGAGGAGACATATACCAGGAAGGAAACGCTACTCAGTCGACCACGAAAGAACTGTTTGTCATTAAAGAAGATTCATGGACCCATTAAACTTATAATTAGATTCCAGATTCAAAGAACAGCCTGCTACTTGAAGCGTACCCGCAAGAGCGAAGGCTTGGGAAAGAAGCAGGCTACGCCTTGGCAGCGAGTTGTTGGTGGTCAGCAAATAGGGTTGTCAGATTCTCAGAACGAACGGATCGCGCATAATTTATAAACGGCCCAAATAGACTCAGTTATTGACAGCTAAACAATGGCTCCGCCTATGTGTCAAAATCTGTGTGGGTGTGATATAGGACGTTATGAACTGTTGTGATGAAGGTGACCCGGCGAGGCTATGTACCACCCCATGTGCACTGCATATTGGAGACTCACCCGATTGGCCCACTTCACTGTGAGGATTCGAATCCTTGAACATACCTAAACCCCGAAGTTGAGCATGGGCATGCGGTAATTTCTCCCCAAAGCTTTGCTCACAAGCATAGTCCACCTCGGTACGCCCAGACCGGTGCGATTGTCTTGCAAACACACACAAGCTGGTAGCCTAAGCTCTACGTTCGGAAAATGTCGAACCAGCCGTACTCAGACTTGAGAGATATCTGGCGCCTTGGCAATGAGCCTGGTATCCGGTGCTGCGCGTGTTTGAAGATGATTTCCGGCGAGGCAATGGTCCGAACCTTTCGAGTTCTCTCACCCGGAAAGGAACAGCAACACAAAATCAGGAGTCTCAGAACGCCAGACGACTATGAATTGATACTACACGATCGTCATCTGTCGTGTTTGCTAGAGAGAAATGTTCAATATGCCACCGTTTCCCATGTCTGGCACGAGGGTATTTCGGAAATTCAAAACCAAGAGTACTTGGGGCTTGATAGCCCGGATCTGCAGCGTCTGGTTTTCCGCATTCCCACAGAGATAGCTCAGAGCATCTCTAAAGCATTAGGCCAGGACATTGAAGTATGGCATGACTATATCAGCGTGCCTCAGGTACGTTTTACGAGTTATCCCATGGAGTGCGAGTGGACTGCAGACTGCAGACTGCAGCACAAAAGCGTGCGGGGTAATATCCAAACAGCTCCCACGCAGAGAAATCGACGCTTTTCATGGCTAATGACAAACTTCGTGGTCGATCAAGTTAGAGAGACTGGAGTTCCAAACACTACAGTCCAGCCGCACTCTTT